CTCTCCTCTCTCTCTCTCTATATATATGTTCTCTCTCTCTCTCTCTCTCTCTCTCTCTCTCTCTCTCTCTCTCTCTCTCTTTCTCTCTTTTTACTATTTGGCCACGGGCTAGCACGGCGACAGGTTTACGCGACGTTTTAATCATTATTTTACAGTATAAAAGCGGAGGACATCCGTGTGTTTGTGTGCGAATCCATATCCCCAACGATACTTGCGGGGCGTACATCCCCACCCCGTACATCCCCTTACACGCGCGCGCGCGTACATCTCTTGCTGTTTCTACTCGCACGACAACATGGCGGCCACAGTGCAGCTCACCAGCGCTCCCTGGGGGGACAATTAGCAAGGCGGCTAGCTTACAGCACTGCTCGGTCACCCAAACACCTGCTGCTGCTGATGCTGCTGCTGCTGCTGCTGCTGCTACTGATGATGCTGCTGCTGCTGCTGCTGCTGCTGCTGCTGCTGCTGCTGCTGCTACTGATGATGACAGGGGTGGGAGGGGTGGGTGAGGGAAGGGGACTACCCGCAAACGAACTCATCATCATAATTTGCTCACATTATGTGAAACCGGAGATGATGGGTCCCAGGTATCGGGTGTAGATATACTGCGGCTGCTAACTAGAGATGCGGCAGCGTGGTTGGGTTTCTGTGTAGGAAAGATCCGGTGGTGTAGAGGGTAGGGGTGGGGAAAAATGCCTATATGCGCATGCAATTACGTAGGGCCACACGATCGCAGTGTGTGTGTGTGTGTGTGCGTGCGTGCGTGCGTGCGTGTATGTGCGCGTATGTGCGTGTGTGTGTGTGTGCGTGTGTGCGTAGGTGTGCGTGCGCGCATGTGTGTGTGTATAGCCACAGGCAAACGTTAAATCAAGACGGATCTACCTATAGTCTCAGAAAGATATGCCAATCTAGCTCTAATCTATTTCCACCCAAGGTTCGATAATATGTCATCGTTCGGCGCACTGTACGTATTTGATTTCTAACAGCACATAACCGTTAATACTCTCAAACTATAATCCCTTTTAATAAATTTTCCATCCATTGTTACACGCATGTGCTCCCTCGCGCACGATTGACGACAAAATATATTTATACAAGAACGATGTTGTGCGGATTCGCGTGGAAACTGCAGCGATTCTACATCAAACTATTTTCTTTGTCTTACAGCGACAGCGCGTAATCAGATTGCGCGCATAAGCCCGAGCTGAGTTTCCAAACTAGAAGAACGAGGGTTGGGACGCACTCGTCCGTATTTCACCGCTTACTGGGCAAGGAAGGGGGTTAGTGTTATGCATCGAATGCGTGTTAAATGTCTGATAGAACCTTTGCGGTGTAGCTGGAAGCGTGTGTGTGAGATGTGCACGCACGCACGCACGCACGAACACACACACACACACACACACACACACACACACACACACACACACATACACACACTCAATGTATAAGCATACATGACGTATATATATATATATATATGTGTGTGTGTGTAATACAGATAGCGCTAGCGGTGGCTTTAACGAGTGCAGTAATTAACGCTCAGGCAGCAATCTATATCAGCGCATGAATAATCCACGCCGTACAGACGACCACAGAGACGCTAGTTCCCTACGATGCGGCTCACACATAGCGCTGGCTCGTTAAGGGAAGGTCATTAGGCATGCACGTAATCCCTTTCCTCCCTCCTCTTCCCTCCCTCCTCTTGTCTCCCTCCCTCCTCTTCCATCCCGCCTCTTCACGCCTCACTTGTGAATCGATCGCCATCTTCTCTCGACTTCAGACACGTAATACCTCTCGGTGCTTTCGCGGTGAGGCACGTCATCCAACATGTTCTGCTTGCATCTATGAAAAATACGACATACGCATATACGCTCTCCTATGACACTATTTGTCATAGGAGGATTCTTCCTATGACAAATATTTGGCGAGTTAATTTCGTTCCGCTTTACAGCTGAAATTCACTGCTTACGTTCATAATAGCGCTCCTAAACTCCTATGATGCGCACAACACATACAACAATATTTATCATAGGAAGAATATTCCTATGACAAATAGTGTCATAGGAGAGCG